TCTAGTCTAGTCTAGTCTAGTCTAGTCTAGTCTAAAACGGGTGGGTTAAGAGTTTGAAAAGGGTAGGGAGGACTTTCTCTACTGGACCGGTTATCCCTCTTGCCAGAGCCCGCCCCTCCCCCCCGTGGCTTTGAAGACCCGGCGTCCAGCTCTGCCTAATGCCAACTACATGATTCCCCCTTCTGAGCGGGAGGCGTGACCGCAACCAAGGAAGGGGCGGGTCGGGGGGGAGCAGCTAGGAGTGGGGGGCGTGTCCCGTCCGGGCTCTGGCCTCTCGCGCTGGGGACGCCGCGCCGCAGACGGCCGGAGGGAGCTTCGCCGGGCTGGAGGCGCTGGTGCTGGCCGTGGGCGCCGAGCGAGGAGGCTGGGCGGGCGGGCGGGCGCTTTGCTCCGGGGCAGCCGCTCGCTCGCTCGCTATGAATGCGGCCCGGGCTCTGCTTTCCGCCGTGTTCCTCGCGGGTTTCTTCTGGGGGGATCTTCCCTGTTGCCAGCAGGCCACCATCCCCGCCGCCGCCACCGCCGCGCCGTCTCTCCGGGAGCCCGGCAAGGGCAAGCGGAGCTGCCGGGAAGGCGGAACGTCCCGATCGGCTGGAGAGGCGGCCAAAAAGGGATCGGCTGTAGCCCAGCCGCGGGTGGAGCCCCACGAGTACATGCTCTCCCTCTACCGGACCTATTCCATCGCCGAGAAACTGGGCACCAACGCCAGCTTCTTCCAGTCCTCCAAAGCGGCCAACACCATCACCAGCTTTGTGGACAGGGGGCGAGGTAAGAGGCTCAGCACCGCGGACGGGGATCTGTGGAACACCACCCACTCACCAACCTTGCCCATCCCGGCCGGTCGGCCAGCCGGCTGAACGAGCGGTTGATCCGCGGTCTCTTCCCTGCTTCCCGCCGTTCTACTGCACTGTACTTGGGCGCGCTTCAGTGCGCTTCCAGGCAGTCGCGTCCGCCGGCCCTTCTGCCAAAGAGCAGACAGGTCCCTGGCCCTGCCGCAGGCGCTTAGGCACCGCTACCCGGCAGGTTCTTTTCCTTCCCCGGGCCGGCTCACTCACAGCTGCTCTCCTGATCGCTTTTGGATGGGGTGGGAGCACAACAGCGGCACCCAGGCGTCTCTTAGCCCACG